TTCTAGTGTTTTATGATTCTAGTTCTTCATGCCATGCTAGTTAGGATGTAAACCTTGGAAATTATTATTTGTATGTATTTTAGAGAAAACATAGATCCAAGGTTTATTAAGGTTGCATGTACACTTAGGAGTGTTAGAATGCTCAAAACCCAACAGTAATAAATCGAAACTTGTATAAAACGAAAATGAGATATCACGAAAGTTAATAAATTGGTTTGACCATATTTTTCAAATTTGACCAATCAAAAGATCGCATTTGCTTCTCGATCTAGCTTCAATGAAAACACATACCATTGAGAAATCGAAACTTCATCATCATCATTGAAACACAAACCGAGAATCAATTTGGATTAATCCTATATAGTTCGAAATATCATCTTCGTAAGAAATCAATTATGAGGCCCCATCGAAAGTCAATCAAACAAAGCTCTACATATTCATCAAAGCCTGTTCAAGATCGACTTCAACGAAAACATTTCCATTGAAACTCAAATTCGATCATCACCCTAATTTCAAAATCCTCCATCGATTCACCAACAAAATCAGATAACTATTCACGTTCCGACAATATCATCAACATCAAAAACAACTTCAAACCATCTACGCTCAATCAGTCGATTCAACCCAAAAAACGAAAATCAGCTATCCAACCCAATTGACAATCACATCCTAAACATCAACACCACAAAAGATTTTCAGATTAAATAGGAAATTCAAAGAATGATTATCGATACAAGGGTAGAACCGGAAATACGAAGAACTTGATGGTGAAGGATGAACCCTAAAATCCGCCATCAATGAATGGTTTTTTCCAAGGAATAGAAATCAATTGATGGTATTAGAATGATAAGTTCAATTGATTCTACGGTAGGAATTAATTGCAGATTCCAGGCGACGAACACAACCAATGATATTCCAGGCGACGAACACAACCAGAGAAGAATGGGGAAAATAAGGTAGGGGAATGAGGTGGGTTTTAAAGCGGTTGCACGGGTGAAAGGACAAAAATGCCCTTAGTGTAGGGGTTTCTAATAGTTAATATATGGACAAGTTAAGAGAGAGACTGGACGCGTAGCAAATTAAAGTTTCGTGGATGGCCTGAGTTAAACAATCCTTCTAAAGACCAAGCTTACAAGTAACCGATAACCATAAGGACCATACACGTAATTTACTATAGATCTTATTTGACGATGCTTCAAGGCGTGTTTGGGATTGCTTCTCAAACTGCTTATTGGCTTTTTTGAAAAACCATAATTCTTGGCTTTTGGAAAAACCATTTTTTTCACTAAAAAATTAGTGTTTACCAAACACTATTTTAACTTATTGGCTTTTTGAAATGCCAATAAGTCAATAAGTCATTTTAAATAAGGGAAATAGAACAAAACTCACTAAGTTTACACCAAAATTCTAATTTGACACTGAGTTTTTTTTTTCTCAAAATTGATATTGTGTTTTTCAATTTGTTATAATTCTGACCACTTAACCGGTCAAACCGGTTGCGTGCTGACGTGACATTACGACGTGTCATTTTTGATGACGTAGCATGCTGACGTGTCAAAACTGATTTTTTTTCACAAAAGACACTAGGTTTTTACTTTTTTCAATTTTGACACTCATTTTTTTTGTTCCAAATTGAACATCATTTTTTTTCAATATTATCCATTTTCCATTTGTAATCGTGTGTGTGCGCATGTCATTTAAAAACAACTTTTTTTTTTATATAAATACAAAGTTTTTTACATTCAAACCAAAATGTTATGTATAAATGTGTATTAGTTATATTATAATCATATTTTACATTAAATATACAATATTAAAATGAGTTTGAAGATGTGGAGTGCACAATCAGATAAGCTAATATGATATCGGGAACACGAGGGTCCGATGTTCAGTTTAATTACCAATGGACGGTTCGTTGTATATATTCGTGATTTTTGGTTCTTGCAGATGTATTTCTTCTTAATTTAACATTACAATAGTGCATGAAAAATAAGGTTATAATATAATTAATACATATTTATTCATAACAGTATGGTTTGAATGTAAAAACCTTGTATTTATACAAAATATGGTTTTTAATGAAAAAAAAGTATTTATATGGTTTTAAATGTAAAAAAAATATTTATACGGTTTCAAATGGTATAAAAAATAATGTCGGATTTGGAAAAAAAAATGGAGTATCACCTCATCAAAACTGAATAAAATTGAAAAAATGATGATCAATTTAGAATAAAAAAACTGAATATCAAAATTGAAAAAAAAAAAAAAAGTTTAGTGGCAAAATTAGAAAAAAGTAAAAGTGTGTTTTGTAACATTTTTGTTTTTCTTCAATTTTGACACGTGTACATTCTATATCATCAAAATTGACATTTATCATACCATCGTCAACAAAAAAAACATAAAATTAAATTATAATTTTAGTATAAACTTATGTCTTTTATACTATTAAAAAAAACCGACTCAGAAACACCCACCTGAGAAATTGAATCCAAAAATAAAACCGATATTTTGAAAATACATTTTTGCGATTTACTAAATAGAATAATTTGATCGATAATAACCTTTTGGTGTGGATTCTGTTGTTCCACACAAAAATCCATCTTCCATCTCTTGCTTGGCACATTTTGACGAGATATTTCTGGGTCTCCGTTTTATATATCAGAAGACGAGACGACCAATACAATCCATTTAAGCAAAAACAACAATGGCAGCAATCAACTGCCACTACCTTTCAGTAACCTGCACATCCACGCCCATCAATCAGGAATCCAATTCCATTCAATCCACGACTAGACCCACCAAGATCATTTTACCCGACAAAAAGCCCCAAAAATGGTCCACCGGCGTTGCTCCCGGAGATTATGGCGGACCACCGACCACCACCAAGCTCCGAAAGTACTGGGGAGGTGAAAAGGAAGACCCTATCACCTCTGATGATTTAATTTGGAATAGAGATTTCATGCCTCACATGAAACGCTTGATTGGGGATTCTGATGATTCTTCCTCTGACCCTCGCTTATCTACAGTTAAGGTAAAGTAATTTTCAATGCATTTAACCTAATTTTTACTTACATTGGTGTTTCTTCCGATTATTAGTTAGAATTCAATTTGAATTTTATTAAAGCTAATTTTAGGCCAAAAAAATGTACAAGTAGTAAATTCTCGCAAATCATACCAATCACATCTTCTTTTACTAAATTAAGACGACCTTTCACAATTAGAAGACTTCAGCAGTTGATGCTCTATATATAAAGGCATAAAAATTTGTGTGGTTTATAAATGAAAAAAAAAACATGAATCATCACTTTATCATATTATCTGTTTTTAAGTAATGTTACATTTACACTACTTGTAAACGTAACGATTTTCCTCTTGCAAACAAATTCGTCAAAAATCAAATTTTAGCTCTATGAATTTGTGTTTTAATCGCTAAGTTGTAATCGTTTTATGCAACTATGAATTTGTGTTTTGTGTGTATATCTCAATGTTCCATTCTGCTTACTTGTAAAAAGGAGGAGGCATCTGGATTTCTGAGCTTCAACAGAGTCATGAATCTCAACAGGCATGAATCTCCCTCATATTACATTCGATTTTATTAAATTTCACGTTTCTTATTTTTCCCTTTGATGTAAAACTCTTGATGTATATAGTATGGAAGTCGATTTGAGCAAGGAGCTAGCAACGATTCCAAATCCAATCATAGAGAAACAAGTCGAGGTTGCTGAAGTAAGATTATGCAATGATGTTTCACTTTTTTTTTTATCAATTTATGCAACTGATACGAATTATGCAACCATGATTCAATGGGTTAAGTAAGTTAGCATAAAATATTGTTCCATAGTTGCATATTTGATATAAGATAAGATTTTATCCTAACAACATTTTGTTTTGATGTTAGGCTACAAACATTCAACCGATAAAATGGAAACCAGCACCCACAAGGCGTGAACAAGACAAATGGGATAGAGCATCTAAAGCTGCAACCGGAGGCAGTGTATGCCTTTTTTACACTTTTTTTTATTTTTTTTATTTCTTTTTTGTTTCCTTGAAAAGTTAATTAAATGTTGTTGACACAATTAGTTCAAATCACTTATGATTGCCAAATCATGGATTTCTCAGTGACAAAGGAATGAAATAGACATGGTAATAGAGTAAACAATGTAGTGGAATGTAGGAATGGAATGTTGCTTTACATATTTTTTTAATATTATATGTGGTGAAATTATTTTTTTAAAAATATAGGACTTTATACGTCGATTGAATATAATTAATGAATCTTTTATAGGGTTTTATGCAGAAAAGTCTCATTATTTTGGGAAATTAATTTTTTGATGAAGTCCTAAAATGTTTTTTTTTTGGAACAGTAAAGTCCCGATTATTTAATATTTTGCCCACATTAATGAAAAAGTCCTTATTTTTATTTTAACAGGAAATGATAGATTATCGTGTAAAGTTAAATAATCGAGACTTTTCTGTTCAAAAGAATAAGTTTATGACTTTATCAAAGAATTTCCCAAAATAATGGGACTTATCTGCATAAAACCCATCTTTTATATGTAAAAAGAAAATTTTAAACATCATAAAAACTCAACAAATCCCAAATAAGATTATAATAAATATATATTTTTTATTTAGTAATATTTTTAATTCTCTTGTATACAGGACGTAATGTTCAGGGAATTGAGGCGTCCTAAAGGGGACCCAAAAGTGCTGGCTGCTAAGTCAAGAGAACAGTATACAAAGGTTATATCATTTAAAAAATTCACAATTTTATTAAAGTGACATACGAGTTTATTATAAACTTTTAATTGAATTAAATTTACAGTTAAAGAACAAGTTGCAGATTTTGACATTGGCAATTGGTGGTGTTGGCCTGGTGTCAGCTTATATTTCATACACTCCCGAGATTGCAGCAAGGTAACTTCACTATCTGTTTTTATGTTTAAAAAATGTAGGAGCTTTTTATTTATTTATTTATGTTGTGATTTGTTAAGATTTTTGCTCTTGTTGTTTGCATACATACATGTAGGCTGTGTTTGTTACACGGATAGGATGGGACTAGGCAAGATTTAGTTTATAGGGCTATTTTTGATGATGGGGTTGAGGAGGGCATTTTCGTCTTTTGCATAGACAATAAATCAAGAGCTAGTCTGTGTCCCACTCCCACCTTTTTGGGTGGGACTAAAAATTGCAACTTTTGTCGCGTTGCCATCATTCTCTCTAGTTTACACCAAATGCAACTGTTTTTAGGGCTATTTTTGTCATTATGATGAGGAGGGGCATTTACGTCTTTTTCACATACAAGACATCGATATTGAGTCTATTCCACGTTTTTTTGGTAGGACAAAATTTGCAACTTTTGTCCCATTGACATCAGTCTTAATGTTAATCCAATGCTCTATTTTTGGTGATGAGTACTAGGAGGGCATTTTCGTCTTTTTCACAAACAAGAGATTGAGAACGAGCCCGTGTCCCACATAGTTGTGATTTTTGTCCCATGGATATGCTTTGCTTCTACCCCTGTATGCTCAGTTTTTTTTTTTTTTTTTTTTAATTGTAAATTTTTATTTTTGTTCTTATATAACGGATGTTTTATTGGATTAAATATACTTATTTATTCAGTTATGGTGCTGGATTCGTTGGTTCTTTGGTATATATGAGAATGCTTGGGAACAGCATCGATGGAATGGCAGATGGGGCCCGAGGGGTTCTCAAGTAATTTTCTCCATTAAGTCCTAAACTTTTACAAAATTTCCCTCATTTAATTTTTAAATATTTTTAATGTTTACTTTCAGGGCAGCAATTGGGCAGCCGCGATTGATGGTCCCTGTGGCCTTGGTCATGATCTATAACCGGTGGAATGGGTATAAGTTCTTTGCACACATGTACTTCATGCATTAGAAGTTGTACCTCATTAATCAATCTTGTAACGTTCCTTATGATTTCCATTTTTGCAGGATTGTAGTTCCGGAATACGGATTGATGCACCTAGAGTTGATTCCAATGTTGGTTGGATTTTTCACATACAAGATTGCCACCTTTACACAAGCAATTGAAGAGGCAATTACAATAGTGGAAAATGATGCTCAAATTGATTAAGATTGACATAAAACAAATTCTTTTCTGTACTATGAGTAGATGAAATTATTGGATGTGATATTGTGAGAACAAGTGGTGTAAAGGGAAAAGGCTGTGTGATTTAATTAATGTATATAAGTTTTGGTCAAATGTTGATAGGTACGACTATATGTCATGTATTACAAATGCTCAATGCAAGATTAGGCATGCGAAATGAAATAACGTAATCGTATATGTGAACAGTGGCGTGGAAATTAAAATAAATGAACTTTGAACTTAATTAAAAAATTAATTAATAGTACTTCAGAAGAAAAAAACTAGTAACGTGGTTGTCGTTGTCATTATGCAAAACAGTGAGATGACAAAAGCTACATAAAATCGGTGTTTCGTCTTCGTTTAATAGGTTTAGATTAAACCACAAGTTGGCTATTACACTATTTAGAAAATATATTTCCGAAGGCTGTCGTTATGCAAAACATTGAGATGACAAAAGATATATAAAATCGGTGTTTCGTCTTCATTTAATAGGATTACATTAAACCACAAGTTAGCTACTACACTAGTTAGAAAAGATGCCAGTGGGTGTATCTTGGGAAAATGACTTAGGAGGGTAACTATCTCTTATCTGTGTTCATATATTGGCAACTTCTTCTTTTTTGTACATAAGAAAGCAACTAAATTGTTTTAACTGTTTAAATTACACCAATATTACCGGCTAATACCTGTTTTAACCGGTAACTCAAAAGGAAAATGACTTAGGAGGGTAACTACCTCTTATCCGTATTCATATATTGACAACTTTTTTTTTGTACATAAGAAAGCAACTAACTTGTTTTAACTGTGTAACATCCAAAAAATCATGACCAAAAATTTCGTTTTTAATTTAATACTAAAACCATAATTGTCAAACCATTAATTTAATACTCCGACATCGGGCCCCGCCCGGCATCAGGCCCCACCTGTCTCCGGGTCCCGCCCGCTAAACACATACAATCATATGACATGCTAACACATAAAGAAACATACTTTACTGTATCCCTGTCCTAAGAAACATACTCTGCTAATAATGAGATACAGAACCTCGTCCGTATTCAGCTAGTTCCAGCCAGAGCTTCAGCAGTGCAATGTGAGTTTCCTCACTGTGTGAATAGGTCTAAGGCCACAATGCCAGCCCATGTAGTCTATGAGTAGGAAGACTCGGGGGTTAGCCTTAGGCATTGTATGCTAGTATGTTATTCGGACCAAGGTCCGATGCCGGGCGGGTGCCCGAGGAATGTTTGAATGTTAGATTATACTTGTTGTCTGTGTGATACTTGTATGTGCCTAGTAGGGAGGTGAGTGTGGGCGAGGTCCCGTATCTCATCACTAGCTGAGTACAGACGAGGTTCCGTATCTCATTATTAGCAGAGTATGTTTCTTAGGACATGGATACAATAGAGTATGTTCCTTTATGTGTTATCATGTTATATGATTGTATGTGTTTAGCGGGCGGGACCCAGAGACAGGTGGGGCCTAAGAGAGACAGATCTGTATAATGAGCGGGGCTCGATGCCAGGCGGGGCCTCATGCCGGGTGGGGCCTGATGCCGGGCGGGGCCCGATGCTAGAGTATTAAATTAATGGTTTGACAATTATGGTTTTACTATTAAATTAAAAACTAAATTTTTGGTCATGATTTTTTGGATGTTACACAGTTAAAACAAGTTAGTTGCTTTCTTATGTACAAAAAAAAAGTTGTCAATATATGAATACGGATAAGAGGTAGTTACCCTCCTAAGTCATTTTCCTTTTGAGTTACCGGTTAAAACAGGTATTAGCCGGTAATATTGGTGTAATTTAAACAGTTAAAACAA